ACAAAATTAATTGCCAAATGTTCGATTGTGAATTCGTTCTCTTTCATTAACACCGGTGTTCCAGATAATCTGTATGAAAGTGAATTCACTTAGAGCACTTAAGGGAAAATAAACGAATTTAATTAGTATGTATAGTTTAACTTAAATTACATATCTGGGCATGCTTTATCTCGTCTGCTTTTTTATCATGAAATAAATTATACTTTAATTAACAAAATATTTGAAAAGAAATACAAAGATGGTAAAATCAAAAAGTTGTAAATTACTGTTAATAGATTTAATCTGAAAGCAAATTATTAAGAATTAATATACCATACAGCAAATATTATTATATTTCAAATAATCTCGTATATTTTTTTAGAAGAATAACACAAAATCTACTTCTTTTATAACTGATTTGTTGAATTTAATTAGTTAAAGACTGAACGCAAATTAAAAGATATTTTGCGTGATAAAAGTCTCTTGTTGTATATGGATGTTCAGAGCAGTAAAAGTTTGTTTTGTTTTGCATTTCGCGCAAAGTTACACAAACGCTATCTGTGCTAGCCGTCTCTAATTTAGCAGTGAAAGACTAGAGCGAAGGCAGCTAGTCATCACCACCCACCGCCAACTCTTGGGCTACTCTTTATCCAACGAATAGTGGGATTGATCGTCACATAATAACGCCCCAGGGCTGAAAGGGCGAACCCACGACCCGCAGATTGCGAGTCAAGCGCCCTAACCAGACCAGCCAAAGACAGCAGAGTTTATTCACCTAAAGTGACTCATCAGCAATGAAGGTTTGTTTGCTACAGTGCAAAGTTACACAGTTGGCTATCTCCGTTTTGTCAGTAAACTTATAGCTGATCCACTGGGGAACGCAAGGATGGGATTAGTTGGTGATGAAACTTCTCAAAATAGAGAGATTCATTGGATTCAATCATTTTACTAATTTTATGGGTTAATAATTGCTTGAAAAGTACGCGTACATGACAATAATATCAACAATATTATTTATTAAATGGCCCCCCAGTGGCGCAGCGGTATGTCTGCGGACTTACAACGCTAGAATCCGGGTTTCGATACCCGTGGTGGGCAGAGCACAGATAGCCCTTGTGTAACTTTGTGCATAATTAAAAACAAACAAACAAACAAAAACAATTTATCAAATGCTATTCTATTCACTGGATGACAAACAATAATTTGAAATTGTAAAGGTGTGTGAGTAGGTAAGATATAAAAAATCGCGTTATTTACTGATATGGCAATAATATAAAATACTTACTTTAAGAATATTGGAATTTCTGTCCTGAATACCTTCACATAACGAAATAAAAATGACAAATATCTTACGTTATCACGAATTCCTTATATTGTACCGAGAATCAAAGCTAATCTTCTACGAACATTTTTTACTATTTTTACTTATAAATCACAGTTTGTATGTTTACGCCACCTTTCATCTACTAAATCATAAGATCTGTAATTGACATCTAGCAGAAAAAATGTACAAATATGGTGTTTTCTACTAATGTATTCTTTTATTTACAAACTAATAATTCATACTAAATCAATCAAAAATATGTGAAAAAGCTCATGCGTGTAAGAATATTATTGACCTTACACTAAAAAACTCGTACAATTTCCATTCTTGACAATAGCTACTTTCTAAAGGGAATGTATCCCTTGTTCTTCTAGCTTTTGTAACCATGCAGCACATGGGAGATGCATAGGCGCCTGTGGAATGTGAGATTTGAACGCCGACCGCCTTCCCCAAGGTACTCTAAGCTTACATGCTGGGTTTCGTGACAATCGGCTTAGGTTTCGCCAGTTTTAAGTTGACACACACACAGCCTTATGACAAATAAGGGTTTAGATTCATCTTTCATCTGGTGCTCTGCTTAGTTGAAAACGTTATTCATAGCTCAAAAGTTGAAAATAACATAGAGGACATGAAAGCTTAACTTTCAGTTTTAGATATTTTATATTTCCTCAACTCTATACTATATTGTAGGTGATAAATGTCATTACACTGGCAGACATAATCTAAAAAATCTATAGAACTGAAAGCCACAAAATGTAGTAGCGCTATGTAATTGATGTTAGTAATTGTCTATAACATATTCATATCAAGTGGATTTTAATTGCCATTAAAAACTATTTGCTCATTTAGCATGAAAAGTTAACTTACGTCATTCACGTCTTTGTTTTTGTAAAACTTGACATACTGTTTTAATAATTTAGAGAACTATTAATATATTAATATTTATCATTAATTTATTGTTAATATTAATAAAATAACGGCAAAAGGTGGTGGAAAATAGAGAAAATTATAATGGGACGCAATATATAGGAAATAATACCGATATAAAGAAATCAAAGTATGAATAATACTGATAATGTAAAGTAAGTTTAAATATGAATTTGGTTTTAAAAATCTTTTCAGAGATATACGACTCTCATTAATCTCGGGGTCGAGATTGATGCCATTTGGCGTTACATTCTTTAAAAGTGCTATTCAGTAAGCTTCTTTAATTTTTCTGTTTCTGTTAGATGTAAAATTTGTTACTATACCCGTCAGTTTAATGTCTTCAAGAGAGTGTCCAGGGATGTTAAAGTGTTTTGTGATCGGAAGTTCTTTGTTTGTTTTGATTTGAGGGTATTAAAACGTACCCGTATAGTTGTTTTGGATTGACCTAAATATTGAAAGTTGCATTTTCCAATATTGGATTAATGTAAATATCGTTTTTTTTGTGGAGCAGGTTATGGGTTTAGTGATTTTGAACTGCTTTTGGTTGTCTTTATCGGAAAATTTGTCCGTTTCCTGCATTAACTGATAGGTTTGGCATTGCTTGCTGTTGCAAGGATGACTTTCATCTGGTGTCGATTTAAAGTTGACTTTAGCGTGAACTAAGTGTGAATGCAAAGTTTAATTTTTTCTGAAACAAACGACAGGAACTTCTGTAAAAATGGATTTTAGTCGATCATAAATTCACATTTAAACTTACTTTACATTATCAGTATTATTCATACCTTAATTTATCTATATTGGTATTATTTCCTATATATTGTGTCACATTATCACGTTCTCTATTTCCCACCGCCTTTTGCCGTTATCTTATTTTTATTTCTAATTTTATCTTTATAAACATTGGTTAACATTCCTTATAACTATTATTGCACTTAAGTCTTTTAATGTACTGTACACACCTCTTTGGCACAAACTAAACCTGACATCAACAACTCTAGGTTATGATTAGCTAGTTCTCAAGGCTAACTCCTATTGAACATCCAGTTTACGTGACGTCGACACCCGTGCCTATATATTTCATCACACTCATTAAACACAACCCTTTATTCTCCTGAAGAAGAATAGCAAAGTATCCGAAAGCGCTCGAGTTTTGTGTCTCGTTTCAAACACATACAGAAAAGGATGGTTACCATAAGGGTCGTTTTAGTCCTAAAAATCCAGTGAACAATAAGGTACTGAGAAAAGTGTTTTTGGTAGTCCCGGTACCACCCAATGTTCTAGCAAGTCAATATGAACATTAATGCAATGTGTCTGTGGATATGGGGTGTATATAATGAGTATTGTATCGATTTCTGCAAAAATCAGACGTTTATATACAAGTGGACTCTACTTCAACCTCGAGCAGTATAAGTAATGGGACAAAAGACATATGGTATACGCAAACGTATTTGGCACGTGCTTATGACGTAACGACAATAAACGTGTCACGAATGCTGAGAAATTCGGCTACTATGAGATGTATGACATCATATATGTTCTGCCATTCAACATATTGGGATTTCAAATATCCATTACGCTTTGTTTTTCAAATATGAAAAATGCGACATCAGTCCACCGACACTCCCACGGTTTCTGGACGCATTCAAGATCTCATCACTGATGCGGCATGGTGGAGCACTGTTTCTAATGACACTGATGACTAAAGTTCTAGGGACGGTATAAAAGGGACGTTTGGATTTGAACATTTCAGACGTCTACGTACTCTTTCACATCACATTCGTTCTTTATGCTCGCTACAGTTTTGTTTACACAAAAACATAGTGATTTCAAGTACTTGTTTCTTCTTCAGTGTCTCCATTAATAACACCCATAAAGATGTTTTTGTAGTTGGTACATGCCAGGTTATCACATATGTTCCAGTTCTCGAAATTCATAGTAAGGAAAAAACAGTCCTTACGGGGACCTATCATTTATAGGCCGTGGATTCAGATTTCAATTTCGATAATTTGACTCTTGTTTACTATGTGTTGTTGTAATAAGAGATTTGTCTTTGAGTGTTTTGTAAAGTTTAGCATTTGATCCATGTTACTAAAAATATATATATGTGTGTGTGTCTGTGTATTACAGCAATTTGACTCTTGCGTTTGTCAACACTGAACAGTAACTTAGCAATACTAAAGTTTTAAGTCTATAAAGTTTTTTCAAAGTTTAACATAATTTAAATCGAGAAATAAATTAGATAAATTCACCTCATTTTAGGTAGTAGGAAGAAGGTCGCACTTAACAACAGAATGAATTTCGAGAGAATAGACCTTTGATTTAAGTGTCACATGCTAAAGACTTGTATAAATGGATCCTTTAACGTATTGAAAAGATGCTTGGTTTTTTGTTGTTGTTTCGATAGGCTTTCATTCAAAATAATCACTTTAATTGTCTGGGCCACAGAAAAGTATATTTGCTCTGGCTGTTTTGCAATTAGAAGAGTTATTATTACGTGAAATAGGATCAGGTTTTTTTTAACTAAAAAATTCTAGAGACAATTATTCGAATGAGGTTGTATTTGTTAGTAAAAATCATTAAATGATGTATAAATTTTGTTAGCCCATGATATTAACCGTTCAAAATAAGAACTAAACCAATGGATTTGAAAAAAATTCCAGCTCCGTTTTCTTGTTTCTAATAATATCACTTTTATTAATTTCAGAAAGTTTATATTCTAATTTGTTCGATAAAAAAATGATAGAAAACTTCTAACGTTCCTTCTTTACAAACAAAATACACGCCAACTCTAATAATAGTAATATATTTTAATATTATATTGAAATGACATTTCGGTATTATACAGTCTTGAACGAGTGTATGAAAACGTACGCAAATTTTGTTTAAACTTGAACCAAAAATCAATAACACGCAACTTGGTATATATTTAAAGTACTTAATGGAATTAAACATTACAAAATGTTGAATCAACATTTATTATCTTACGATATTTACAATGAAAAAAACAAAACAAAAGACCACGATAACTTTAGTATCCATTAAGCATACTTGAAGCAGCATCTAGGGATTTGTCTGTAAACAATTTTACAATATAATCCCACACTTTTATTCTAGTAAGCTCCAGTTTTATATCAATTTATACATGAGATAAAAGATTACGTAGTGATGGAGAGGCAAAAAATTCATCTGTATTATGATCTAATGGGTTTTAAAAAGCTATCGTCCAGACCTTATTGAAGTTTTCTTTACAAAATGAGTTGGGGAATAATACCACTTCTGTTGAAGATAAATAGAACCTTTATTTCAGATCTGCCAGTATTTCAGTTACTGCCAAGTTAAGGGTGATTTCAATCATTAATTTGCATAATACAATAAATATATTAAACTTATCATAGAATCAGTCATGCCCAAAAGGGTTGTAATGCTCAATAATTTATTATATGTTTCTAGTAATAATCACTTGTCTAAATTTATATAATTAAACGAATAACGTGTGTGCGCTCGTGGGAATCTTTTTAAACTTCATTAGATTATGCAAAATTGAAATTAAAATTAGTAGGAAAAAACGGACGACGTCATCATATGCTTCAGAGAGGAGTGGGTATCGATAGTACTATGGATTGCAAAGGTATTTGAGGAATGGATTTGTCATTCATCAGAGCTCCATCTCAGACAACAGAGTTTAAGTCTGAAGGTTTTGTGTGTGAATTCCTTTATTTGTTTATGGACAATTAGAGTACCAGTACCGTGACCCTGATGAGTAGCGATCTGTGAGCAATATCATTGAGTTTTAATACTTGCCCCCGATACACAGGTTTTGAAAGCGTTCTTAGATCCGAGTCCCTTACTAGATAAGTTGATCGGTTTGTCAATTTTTTATCAGACTATTCGGCTCAAAGTGTCTTTTGTACTAGAAATGTTTGGTGAATATCACGTGTTGTAGAATAAGTTTAACCAACTTAAATTTAATTTTGCAGTCACTGAGACGCCTCTTACGGCCATCAGATTCGTTCAGAACTCTAAGTACCTAACCTCATATATGAGAAATCTAGGCTATAATTCTGGCTATAGGTTAATGATTTCTATTTGTTTCATGGTTGGCTAATTAGGATTGAACTATTAGTAATCTTGTGATTATCGACAACACGCAGATATGAACTTTAAAGTAGCGATTCAGTAGCTGAGTCACTAGAAGGAAAGTATTAGCTATTAGGACATAGTGCCTGAGGGTTATATGGAAAAAGAAAGGTACATAATTTTAGGTAGGAATTTGTCCTATGAAATTTGAGTCTGGTTTGAGACAACTAATAATTGTAAAGTTGAAACAAAACTGTCGCAGTTTTGTACATAAACATTTTGTTTTGTGGTCGTAAATTAAATTTGTGAGAGGCATTATTTTGTGAATTAACAAAAACATTACTGCCACCAAATCTAATTTAGCTTACTGTGATTGTCTTTAGACTGAATTAAGAAACATTGTGTTTCCAGATATATTACAGGAATAGACTACTACGAGAGTCTAGCGAAAATCTTTAAGAACAAGGCAGTTGCGATAAATGTTATCCATATTTATTTGTTTGTCATGAGGTTAGTAACATTATCTGATAACCAGCAACAGAGATGTGTTAATACAAAGCTGATTAAGAACGTCTGCATAATTTACCTTGATCTCCATTATCGAAGTGATGTGAAATATTTTAAAGAACCCAAACGGATGTGAAAAGTTTGACTTAGATTTGCTTGACTTTTTCCATTCATTAGTTGAGTAAAATGCCTGACGACTAACAAATGAAATCTTTCATAAATCCGATCGAGGTATTCAATTTCATTTCTACATTGTTAAGGCTTTTGTTTCCTAGGTTGTTAGACGTTAGGGAAGCAAAATCAACCGATGAATAATAAGCCAAATTCTCTAAAGAATCACCAGGTTTGAGAAGCTTCAACTGGAAAGAGTTAAACTTTTCGCCTGTCAGGGTGCTCCGTACTCACTTTTAAAAAAGCAACATAATTTGGAGACTAAGAAGTAAAATCTTTAAAAGATCTAGTCTGGTTAAAGGTGTAACAATTCATATGCTCATAACAGAATTACAAATACGTGTGGTGTGAAGTGTGGTAACGGAGCCCTGCATTTAACTATCATTTGATCACAGTTCTGAAGTACAGCCAAGAGATATTCTTCTTAGTGTGAAGAAAAACGTGTGATGTAAATGATTAAAACAGGATAATCCAACAATTTCCTTGAGTAAAGTTTTTAAAACGTACGTACACAAACACACACACATGACATAAAATGAAGACTCAGAAAACGATTCCCAGTGGATCAGCTATAAGCTTGAAAACATATAACGCTAAAATGTGTGGTTCGATGCTTGCTGTGGGCACAGCATAGATACCCCATTGTGAGGCTTTCTGCTTAACTATAAAGAAACAAGAAAACATTCATATCCAGAAAATTCTGAAAATAAGTTATAAGGTTGACATTTTAAAATTATAATATACAAAATCGATTTAATGATCCACATTATTATATTTATGAAAGATAAAACTTGTTTTTAAGTAGAAAGTTATATTTTAAAATTGTCTTTTACTTGCAGTAAAGTGCGTTATTTTACACTTTGTGTGAATGTTGTTTTAAGTCTTACTTTCTTTGAAATCTGTTTATAGAAAACATCTTAGTTCAGGTTAAAACTTCGTTTTCTTTAAGATGTGAACAACATTTCATCTTTGCAACACGCCAGTAAGTCTCCTAGTGTTCATAAAAATCTATTGAAGCTTTCAATAGTTGAGTTGATATATATTTAGTTTCCTTTTTCCAGACTCATAATAATATGTGATAGACAAATAAAAGCGTGGCAGATAATGACAGATTCACAATGAAATGAAGCTAGGTGTACTCTTACAGCATTAAACTTATATTATTCCCAGTCTTTATTATAGTACGAAACATAGGATCCAAATAAATTTACTTACCTTGTATATTTAATCCGACGGTCATTAATTTGAAGTTATCTTGATACTGGTTGCACAAGATTTTTTACGTACATTTATTCCACCATACACATAGGAGAAATGTTGAAATCTGTAAAATATCCTGAAACAGTTAGAAATTTCGCCATTTCAACGTCTTAAGAATGTACAGAAATGAGCACAGTAAGGTTTTATACATAACATGTAGGTAAAATGGAACATAATATCACTATATGGGTACTTATAGCTTCTTTGATTGAAAATATGGTTGTCGTATTGTCTTTTGATAATTTATATGGTTTAACCTCTTTCGTTGTTTTTCTCAACTACCATTTACACAAACACAAACGTAGAAAGAGAGATGATGCATTGACAATGGATCTTAAACATATAGTTGTTAGAATTATGTCGAAATGAAAGATTAAGTTGTTTTACCATATTATCACTCAGTACAGTCTGTAGAGGATGTTTGAAAGTATTCTATGGTTTACACATGTCCAATTATAATGAATGGTATAGGAATTAAATTGTTAAATAAAATCTGAAAAAAAAAGTAAGCCGAGGGTGATAAAACAGTTTGTTTGTTATTAAGTGCAAAGCTACATAATGGCCTACCTGCTCTATGCCCACCGCGGGTATCGAACCCCATTATTTAGATATCCGCAAGCTCAGCGCTTAGTAATCGGAGAGGAAACCATCTTTTCTCTCTATTTAGCAACGTATATTGAATGTTTTACAATGTTCAAGAATACATAAAAACTTTGCACACAACAATAATTACTTGGGATTTTTGTCCTTCTGTCTTCTTGCTAATTCAATCAACCGTAACTTAACTATTGTGTAGCTGAATTACGGTTATTATCCAACCGTGTTAAATACCATATTGACGCTTATATAATGACAATAAGCACAGGTTATTTTCAGTAATATTATTCCAACTCAAATAGAAACGAATCCAAGCTTAATTTCTGAATATCGCTTATTGCAATTCTGATCTTTTTTCTATAAAGTTAAATACCATAATACCCGAGAAGCTAAAATAGTTATTTTCTGATTTAAGATAATAATAACAATAATGTGTTTCATAAGTTATTAAGAGAAATATAGTCACAAAACAAACGCAATTTAAATACCTAAATGTAAAATATAGGTACGGTGTATAATACACCTTTATGAAATAATAACCAATAATAATTTTCAAACTGTAACTGCAGTTGGAGGTCTCAACTTAGATCACTTACCAAAATAAGGCACTTTGAGCAATAAAGATAGAACGAAGTCGTCTTCGTCACACTGAACTTTCTTGCCTGCTTTCCATTAGAGGCGTTTCACAGGTGGCGCCACTTTCTTCGTTGCTCTTCTCGGAAATGTGACGTCTCAGTCTCGTCTCGGAACATTCTGGTCTAGAATCGTGCGATATGACGTTTGCGAAGCAATGCGTCGCTATTGCTGGTGTCAGTCCTTCGTAAGAAACGTCGTCTCTCTAGTAAAAAAACTCCCAAATTAAGTTTAAGTAACGTCTCTTTAACCTCGACAAATATAATCTTGCACACATCACTGCTTTTAAATCAGTTATTATCTGTCTTTTTATGTTTATTTATGAAGCCGTTTATAAAAGAAAGATGCAAAAAGTTTTTGTTTGTTTTTAGAATATTCTTGTAATGTTAATCAATGACTGTATTTGTTAGCTGTCCCTAATTCTGAATTTACAGACTAGATGGAAGTTACCGGCATCCTTCGCCAATTCTTGTCTAACTACATAGCGGGGTTTGACTGTTACCTTTATAACGCACACAAATTCCCAACAAACGGGGCGCTTTTTTTGGCAGTAAATAACAGGACGCAAATGTTGGATCAGAAGACCCATATTCTGCTATTATAACCACTAGGCCACGCTCAGTCCAAAACTAAAGGAGAAAAAGGTTTAGGGTGATCTACTTAACTCTCTATATTGGCGAATGGCTATATTCAGTGGTTCGGGCTATCGACCACCCAATCATGTACTTCTGCTGATTCACTTATTCATGCTTTTGTGTTTTATCATTACAAGATGTACTAGTAAATAACGTTTAAAGTGCTACATTAAATAGGAGTAAAAAGTCTATTTCATGGTAAGAAAGGAACCAAAAGAAGAAAGAAGATATAAAAGTGTGTGTTCCAAAGGAACATAAAATAGAAAGTATTATGTCAAATGAGATTTAATAATTAGTAACAATATTAATGGGGCAAAGTTCTGGGTAATAGAATAAAGCTAGCAAGAGATAAAAATGTATGAAAAAGTAGAGCAAATAAAAGAAAGAGATAGTTAAGCAAGGCATGATAATAACAATTATATATATATACATACATATAAGGCAATCCAAATAGCCATAACTACTATATAATTAGAGAAGCTGATACTACGTCCATTTAATCATACAATTAACCATTTGTTATAAATCTGAACAAGACTGATTGTTTATAATGGTATCAAAGTTTCGTTTTAATATAACATTTAATACTATTTGTTTGATATTGAAATGCCCTGTAGATGCATTTGTTCGGATTTTGTGTGAAAATATGAAAAATATGGTTGTTTAAGGTGGAATAAAATAAATATTCAATTTTGAAAATTACGCAGGCCTGCGATAGTTTTATTATTTTGAAAGTTTTACATGTTCGACAGAAAGTCCTGTACGCTGAATCCATTACGTACAGATTTTTCACAAAACCTCATAACGCAATACATAAATGAAAGACCACAACACGTAGTTTTGAGACTAAAAGACGTAGATTTCGCACCCATAAAAGGATGAATGATGATGTATATTCGTTTGACATCAATGTTCTTCTCTTTTTTCTTCAGTTTGTTTGTATTTTTGTTAACAAACATAATAATAAAACATGTTCATTGTGGTAAACGAAATAATAATTTGATGTAAGAGTTTTTTTTCTTCCCGATTTCTAAAAACTTCTTCCGTGATAGAAAAAAAAGAATATTATTTTCGAAATCTGCGTATCTGAATTACGGAAAGTCCGTTATTAAAACTAAAACAACTTTTCTGAACTATAAATTTGCAGGCCCGTGTTATCAGTAAAATCAAAGTGTTAAATCAAAATATAGGAACTTAAAATAGAAAACAACAAAGTAATTCAAATTGTAAGTTCAGTGTAAAAATTATCTTAGAGAATTAAACGATACAATACGTAGGTTGTGAGGAAAATGTAAGGTTACCATGCTTCGAGCATTTTTGTAATAATATGCATACACGCATAATCTAATTTAACTATTTTCTAGACGTCCACAGTCTGTTCATAAGTTATTGCAACTATTTTCGTACAAAAACGTATATGATGTTGAAAATGTTAATTTACTTTACTATTAGAAATATTTCACACTAATAACAAATTGTATAAAATAGGAGTCACTAAATATTTTACATAGTGGTCACGACAAGTGGTCCTATTTAAGAATCCGTTTCACTCCAGAAGCGTAGATTCATTAGCAATTTTTTATGCACTCTTAAAAATTACCTTTATTCCCAAAATATAATATGAATAAATATGTTTTCCAAAATAATTTGTCGTTTTAAAGGATGAGACAGTGGTTAAAATATTATATTAATATATCATGCACGTTTGTGTGTGTAAATACGTTTTAAGGAAAGAATAAAAATGAAAAGCCATTAATCAATTTGCTGAATCAACTTCTATCGAAATATCATAAAATAAGTGAATTGTTTGGAAGTTACATGATGCCATTAAGTATGTCGAATACATGAGCTGAAAGAATAAAGATATGGAAGAAAACTAAAGTGAGTTAAAAGTAACTAACAAGTAGGTAAACGAGCATTATTTAACAAATTCGATGACGAGGAACCCACTTTGAGACTAATAATGGCTGGAGACGGCTTAAATGGGTAATGAAGAAAAACTTTAATATAAGCTTAACATGACAGCAAATGTACAACGTTTCGACAAGGTTTTGTACCTGATGATGACAAAACCTTAGTCGAAACGTTGTACATTTGCTGTCATGTTAAACTTATATTAAAGTTTTTCTTCATTACCCATTTAAGCCGTCTCCAGCCATTATTATTTAACAAAAGTAAGTAAGTAATTGCTAAGTCAAATATTATAATGTTTCGATACTTATGTTTAAAATATTTTTCGAATTTTTTAAACTAATCCAGAACAGCTGCATATAAAATCATAAAATTTTAAAACAATACAGTACGTGAAAAAACGCAGCAGCATGTAGCACTGCGGTATGTCTGCGGACCTACAACGCTAGAATCCGAGTTTCGATACCCGTGGTGGGCAGAGCACAGATAGCCCACTGTGTAGCTTTATGCTTAATTACAAACAAACAAACAAACGTGAATAAAACTGGGGTTAAAAAAAGAAAGGAAAACATGTACGAAATTATCAGCAAAGTGGTATATAAATGTGCAAAATGTTTACAAAATATTTGAATTAATACAAGAACATTAGGTGCTGGAAGGTAAATTTCGAAGTTAAAATTAAACTAAATAAAAAGCTAATCTAATGTGGTTCAATAAGTGTTGAAAATACTATGAAATTTAGAAATAGCACTATAAATGAAAATTTTGCTCATTAAGTAATATAAAATTGATTAGCTGATATGGAACTCGAGCAAAATTTTAACAGAAAAATATCACTTCAATGTTAAAGAATGAAATTATTTTATGTCAAGAAGAATGTCAGTTTAGACTTGAGTTCACGTCAAAGTGATTGACATCTTCTTGGAAAGATGAAAATGTTACTTTAATTATAAGGATTAGGTACTTAAACATTTGTTTAACAACAAGTAAAAGCTTGAAATAGTCTATTCTTTCACAAGTTCTTCAAATACCTATAGAATGATAGGTTTCTTTTTTGTGAGTGTAAAACACTTAAAAACACCATTTCGAATTTCGATACCTCACTACTATAAAGGCCAAGTTTCATTCGGTGGTCATGTCCAGGGTCACTGATGAGGAGTGGAATTCTTCGAAACTAGTTTGGCTCACAGACACATTCTCAATGAAAGAATAGACCATTTCAAACTTTTACTTGTTGTTAAACAAATGTTTAAACAACTCTGTTCAACTATGTATCAGCTGCCTAGTGTCGGCTAAAAATACGAAAAATTAAATTGTGACGGAATGCTACAAGTTCTTCAAATATCTCTAGAATGATAGGTTTCTTTTTTTGTGAATGTAAAACACTTAAAAACACCATATCGGGATTAAGTACTGTTTGTTTTACGACATTTATATGATTCATCGAAATTCATTGTTATTTAATTTCAGTTCAATTACTGAACAGTAAGTATGCCAGGTGCAAAATTTCAGTAGAATAGTGAATATGGAGACAAAATATTTCTTCATTCTTTGTTATTTAAATTTGTATCACAATTCGAAATTAACGTTTTTAAAACACCCCTAAATGAAAATAACTATTATCAGTAATTTAAAAGGGAATTGATGTTGGTCTGAGGATTTCAGAGCAATGAATACGAATATACCGCTGGTTCTCTTTAAAATACTAACCATTTATTTTTCATATCGACAGTCACCGTAAATGAATTACTGAAATCATGTTTTATGTGCGAACTTAAAAATCTTTCATGAACTCAAATTTATTTTAAAATTTAGCCGCTTAACTTAGATGTGATAAAATACACTTAAGATAAAAACTTGCTTTTGGTACGTGTATTTTGATTATATGTTGTTAAGCCCAAAGATACACAATGGGCTAACTATGCTGAGCCATTCAGAGCCTAGTACGTGTATTCATGATTCACCAGACAGACCAAGATTTAATAAAAGCAAGTTAGAATCACTCACATTTCCACCAGTGTAACATATTTTTAAATTTTAAACAAGAAGGAATCCCCAATAGCCGTGGCACTTGAAATTATTTTAGGTTGAATTAGAGTAAAAATGAAACTGCAGTGTGTTAATTTACTTTCGACGTTATATGAACGATTCTGTTTTTGAAGATTATTGAAAAGTTGTGATAGAAGGGGTTTGAGTCCAAAATCGTAATTACATCTCAAATCGGTCAAGAGATGACTGAGCTATGAGGTAAACGTTTTTATTTGGAAAAAACAAACAACTCAGAGCCAGTTGATAAGAGAGTCGATTTTGCAAGTCACTAACTAATCCACCTTTTACAACTGCAAAATGGTTGATAGTCAGCAGAGTTAACGATAACGAAAGTGATAGGAATTTCGATATGCATTCCCGAAATGTCATCCTTAAAACGTGAGTATAAATTTTAATTAGCACACAATGAAATGGGTTAATCTTCACGTTAAAAAGTTTTTATTTAACAAGCTTTCTCAGGACCGTCAACTGAACAACTTTGAGAAAAGCGATAACCGCAGAGCGCGTGTCTAGAGATCACGTGACATGTACTCGTGACCATTCTAAAAACAAAGTTCTTCAGTTGAGCTAACAATATCGTTGAGACAGGGTCGAACGTTTGTCAATTAAG